TAAACACACAGTATCAGTGACGTAGCTAGGGGGGGCAGAGGGGGCCATGGTCCCCCCTAGATCAAGCTTGCCCCCCCCCCTGCCCTCGCGCTGCACTGCCTGCCTTCCCCCGACTTTAATTGGATATGAGAACATGCCGCCGCGAGTGGGCACTGCTCGCACCTAGCAGCTGTCAATTCCCTGAATGATTTCAATTGTCAGCTGGTTGCGAGGATAAGCAGTGCCAGCCTGTGTTATTTCATAGGCAGACCTCAGACCATAGAGAGTGAGAGGGAGGGAGGGAGCTTCCGTGGCCTTACCTCATGGGGGGGCGGCAGTGGTCCCTCCGCCCTTGCCTGGTGGGCAGTTGCCTCACCCCCCTCTCACTCGTAGCAGATAAGTGTGGGAGGCCTTGGCCTTGAGACCCAGGGTCGTTCCCCCCCCAGATGAGAAATATTTTCAAAATAGAGACGTATAGAATTTTTATAATAACCCCCCCCAAAAAAATACCCCCAAGCCCCACCCCCCCAAAAAAAACATAAAAAACACTACAATACAACGGAAAACTACAAAAAGTTAAAACAACCATAAAAATGACACTTGTCATGTATATAATGTAAATATGTTGTATCCCCTTTAGAGTACCTTTTTGTATGGGGGATGTTGCCCCAGGGGGGGTCGGCTGTGAGGTTCTATGCTGCAAATTTTAGCTATTAATGGCTTGCAGGGAGGCCGGTATGGGAGATGTCAAGAGTGAGGCACATGTCACAAATGTTATCTGCTGGTTACTACTACAATGTGTATTGATAGCCCCTCTATATATGTTTAACACGTATGGAGATGGGGCCAGGGGAGGGGAGCGCCCCAACCATGCACCCCAGGACCACCTTGTGGCGGGAGCCAGTCTCTGGGGAACAGCTGATTGGCCGACCTATAACCACCTTGGGGGGCTGGATGACGCATATGGGTTGCGTGAGTGACGTGCAAGGGGGGCGGGGAGAGTCAGGTCCTAAAACTTAGCGGGTAATTATCGGTGTGGTACAGGCCCACGTTAAGATGGATACGGGAGGAGAGGGTTACAGAGGGAGGGCACTGTGTGGTGAGGGAGGATATAGGTCTCTCAAGGGAATTGGGAGGGGCGTCACCTAACCGCAAAATTTGGGGCCAACTAGGAGTGTAATAGCCGAGGTCATGGGAGCGAATACTCTGAAAAGGGGAGGACCCCCTCTCTTCCACCATTGTTTTGTCTCGGGGAGGGAGAGGTTTCCTTGAAGTTTCTGTTCAGTTTAGAATTAGTGAAGTAATGATGTAAGGGTAAATGTAGATTGGGGATTCCCAATAACCTAATACTGCAACACGAGTGAAAATAGAGGTCAAATACAAATAACTTAGGGCGCACTGGAGACGTAGGGCTCGTGGACCCACAGCTCCCTCCAGCGTTCATCGTGGAGGGGATGTTGGATCGTGTACCCCGTAGGAGTCTTGCAATTAGTAAGACCAGACCGTTACAGCATATGAAAGCTGACCGTGGCTTGTTCTTTCTTTTTTATTTCCCTTTTTCCTTTTGTCCTTTCTCGGGGGCAGCCATGACCTAAGCAGGGGAGTGGGGCTGACTGCAGAGGGAGGAGGGGCCAGAATGCCATTGTTCAGACTTTATAGCATAGAAAGACATTAAATAATATGGATGCTACCGTAACTTCATTGAACGTTAAAGGCCTTAACGCCCCGAGGAAACGCAGATAGTTATTTCGGGAACTAAAGCGGATGAAATCTGATATAGCATTTGTACAAGAGACCCATCTGCCAAAACAAGCAAACTTTAGATTGAGAGACCACACATACGAGGCTAGGCTAGGACATATCGCAAATGCAACGGGGTGGCAATATTGATACGAAGCAGTTGTCCCTTTAGGGCAGGCATAGGCAACCTTCGGCACTGCAGATGTTTTGGACTACACCTCCCATGATGATTTGCCAGCATTATATGTGAGAGCATTAAAGGGGATGTAGTCCGCAACATCTGGAGTGCCGAAACTTGCCTATCCCTGCTTTAGGGTATCATCCCAGATGTCGGACTCAGACGGACGATACATCATTTTGACAGGTACGTTGCATTCCCACACTGTACACCTGATAAACGTCTACGCACCTAACCAGCTGGACACTGGAACAAGATAAAGGAGATAGTCGCTACACTGCCACATGGCATAATCCTTTAATGTGGTTCCATGCCCAGCTGTGGACAGGAGCGCTGAGGGGGGGGTTCCCCAATCTCATGGGAGGGAAAGTCAGGACAAGCTCCTCAAAGGCTTTGTTGTGAACACAGGCCTTGTAGATGTGTGGCGGGCGCACCACCCAGGAGAAAGGGACTACACATTCTTTTCGACCCCACACGGCACGTACTCGAGGATTGACTTGTTCTTGACAAACGCAACCGGTATGTCTAGGATGGTGGACTCAGCTTTAGGCAAAATTTCGTGGTCGGACCACGCGGATGTCTCAGTCAAACTGGGTAATCTCTGCGTGGCGTCCCCGTGGACATGGAAACTTAATGCGTCCTTGCTCCGGGACCCTGAGATCACAGACCAAGTCCGAAAGGAGCTGTCGGAATATTTCAACACGAACCGTACCCCAGAGTTGCGAATGAGCACGGTATGGGCGGCCCACAAGACGGTAGTGAGAGGGGTAGTCATTAAACTCGCCACTAGAAAGAAGAAGATGAAACACCAACAGTTGGAGACCCTATTGGATAAGCTACGGACCCTCGAACAAAAACACCAGATGACGCCTGCGGAGGAGACATATAGACAACTTGATTCGGTGAGATGTAATATCCGCACACTATTACTTGACGATACGGCCAGGTCCATGGTCTGATCCAGGCAGACATACTACGAAAAGTCAAACAAAATGGACACGCTTCTTGCCAGGACGCTTAGACCTAGACAGGAAAGATCCCATATTACGGCCATCAGACATCCTGACGGCTCAATTAAGAAGATACCGAACGGCTGATTGGCCGACCTATATGGCTGATTGGCCGAACTATAACCACCTTGGGGGGCAGCAGTCTTTGAGGACTTCTATAAACACTTATATAATCACACGCCGGATACCGGCCCCCGAGATGGGAGAGATATGGATAGTGCAATCCGTTTTCTGAAGAAATTGCAGATGCCTAAACTAAGAAGAGAAGCGAAAAATAGCCTGGCGGTGGACATTACGGAGGACGACGTGGATAGAGCCATTTCGAGACTGAAGTTGAACAGGGCTCCAGGCCCTGACGGGTTTGATGGAGCATATTATAAAACATTCAGGGAGGAGCTCCTGCCCAGACTGGTAACGCTCTTCGATGAGCTGTGACGGGGGGGGCAACCTGGACCCCGACATGACCATTGTTCTGTTGCCTAAACCAGCAAAAGATCCGCTCTTGCCGGAAAATTACCAGCCCATATCCCTAATCAATCACGATATGAAGATATTAGCTAGGATGCAGGCAGACAGATTGAATCCGCTACTGAACTCGCTCATTCATGCGGACCAGGTCAGAATCCTTCAGGGGAGACAGCTCTTTGAGAACACCAGAAGGAATGTAGATCTGATATGGAAACAGATGACAACGGGCATGCCCACACTGGTCTTCTCGATCGACGCCGAAAAGGTCTTTGATAGGGTCCGGTGGCAATACCTGTTCGCTCTATTATCACATATAGACTTTCTGGAAGAGTACATAATAACTATCGAAGCAATGTACGGGCAAATGTACAGATCTCGGGGCCCCCGTTACGCCCATTCAGGTTGT